TACATTGTTACACACACACACACACACACACACACACACACAAACTTTGTTCCTTAAAACCCTATGAGATATGTTAAGCTTCATACCTGAGTAGGTCTCTGGGCTTTTCTGGCTCTAGCTGACTGTCAAAACTGTCATACAGACATTCTCTTACAGTTGTAAGTAATAATAAATGGTAACATAATGGAATGTGCAACTGTCCTTTATTTAAGGACACATTTTAATTTAAATGTGTTGTCCTTTTATTCTTCTTATCACAGAATATTGTTGAGTATTGATTATATTCTGATTTTTAATTGTCATATAGTATAAGATTTGCAGTCAACAAAATATTGTTCTTAATTTAATAAGTTGGTAAAAGTGCCAAGTTTGTACTGTTTATTGTAGAGATTTAACTAGCTAAAGAGTCAGGACCAATTTGCCAATCTAAATGTAGCATACAAACAAGGATCTTTCGTTTACAGTAATTTATTCAACACACAAGGCAGGAATGAAGTTCTGTTACTCTTGAAAACTATGTACTGCAGTTACGGGATGAGCTAAACATCAAATTAAACAATTAGCTTACAGATACTGATTTTGAAGTTTACTAATAATTTGAGTAATGATAGTTTTCATGCAAGCAAAGGGACAGTGGGGCTGCTCAGTGACCATGTCTTTGATACCTGGCAGCTTCCTCTACTGTCAGTGTTTACACATTCAAAGTGAACATCTCTAGAAGAAAATGTGTTGCTCATTAATTTTGCATGGTTAGGCTTCCCCAGCAAGTGGAACCTGTCTGTTTAAACCATTTTAAAGCATAGGCCGTTTTAATCAGATATTCCCCTTTCACCAATATATCACATAATAGAATAGGTATTTTTTCAAATATAATTGAGAATAAGCAATTTCTACATATGTATTCTGATCATAAGATTTGGTTGGTCCTACAACTTGGGGATTCAAAACAAACAAAAAGCCCTAGAAATTTGATCTGGAGCAATTGGGAAGCTCCTTAATTTGATGTAGAACTGATTCTGAAACCCAAAGTTTTGTGCTTCTCAGTCATTATCATCTTAAATACATAGGGTTTTTTCCTTTTCTTTTTTTCTTTTTTGACAAAGTGGGTTGAAACACATGGGTGCAGATTTTTCTGATGGGATGAAGCTTGTAAGAATTCAAAAAATGGATGCAGAATTTGGTTTATATTCTGTGTCAAAGTACTTGTTTGATTTATATACACATGCAAAGAAAGTATCTGCAACTTTTTTTAGAATCATAAAGATAGAAGGGAACATTAAGTCATAAAGTCCTAATCCCTTCCTTAAATACCCTTTAGATACTTGAAAAGTGATATTCAATCCCTTTCAATTATTTCTAAGAGCTACACATACCCAGTTCTCTCCTTATAATAGACTAAGAGAACTGGTTATCCTTGTTGCTCATCTCTGTATGGTACTTGTTTCTCAGGATCTTAAAACATAATCCCCAGAACTGGACATAGTTATATTCTGGCCAATGCAGAATATAGTGAACTATTACTGTGATTTATTTATTTATTTAGATTTATTTATTTGAAAAACTCTTCTGCTGATAAAATCTAAAATAGCATTTGCTTCTTAGCAGCTTTTTCACACTACTGACTCATATTTACTTGAGATCAATTAAAATTCCAAACCCTTTTTACACATGCCATTACCAAGCCAAGTATCTCCTCCATACCTGTGTGTTTGATATTTCTTTCCTTAGTGAGAAACTTTGCATTTGTCTCTGTTAAATTTATTTCTGCCATTTTCAACTCACTTCTTTTACATATGAGGATCATTTTGAATTTTGCTTCTGTCTTCCAATGTGCTTGGCATCTCACTCAATGTTGTATCAACTGCACATTTCATAAGTATTACCTTTACCTCTTCATCTATATCATAAACAAAAATTCTGAAGAGCACCAATCCAAGATCTAAAACACATTGATGAGACACCATTGATGAACACTCTCTGAGTATAGTTTTTCAAGTTGGCTGTGAATCCCTCACATACTATCAAGTCATGGCTTAGTAATCAGAATATTTTATGGCAGTTTATCAAGCACTTTGATGAAATTAATATATCTCTGCAGCATTCTGATAATCTATCCAGTCACAAAATGAAGTAAGATTAGTCTGGGAAGACCTTTTTTTTTCTTGACAAATTCATGCTGATTTTTAGCAATCACTGCATTTTTTTTAAGGAGTTAAAGATCAGTTGTGATCTGAGACAGAAGGTTCCCCAGTATTGATGTCAGACTAAGTGGTCTGTAGTTCGCCACGTTCACCTTCCCTGCCTCCCTCTTTTAAAGATAGGCTAATGTGAAACACACACACACACTCACACACACAGAGTCATCTGGTGTTCCTGGATAGAATCGGATGACATTTGCAAGCAATACTGCACTTTCAATGGGGAA